AAAAAAAACTATTTAACGTAATCGTAATTTTAAATAATTATTTTGTATAAAATGAAAAAGATCTATCAAATGTAGTACGTGTATTGCAAAAAATATTTTGTAAATGCGTGAATAAAAATAAGTATAAAAATTAAAGAATTTTGAAGCATTCGCCCCCGTTTGGTCACCTTATTTTCTCATTAAAATGAAAAATATGACCGTTATCCATCGTATTGCCGCACTAACGAGTTTACATGTGTTTTACACTTTTACCGTACTTATGTTGTCTCCGTCTTCCTCAATCCATCATATTTACCTGATTCAACTGTTTTTCCTGGAGCAATTCATCTCCCAGTTCCCAACGCCCAACCACCGCTTGTTTTCCCTCGTTAAATTCCAAAATCACCCCTCCACTTTCCACTTCCAGTTTAAAAAAACAATGCAAATCCTCACTCTCAGTCTCAGGCCCCTCCACTTCCTCCACTCCAGAAGGACATTGTCGTCAATGACCACCTCCACCCCTTTAGCCACCGCCAAGGTCCGCCTGAGAGGCGTGGTGTTCGACATGGACGGAACCCTAACTGTCCCCGTCATCGACTTCCCAGCAATGTATAGGACAGTGCTCGGGGAAAAAGAGTACTTAAAAATTAAGTCGGAGAATCCGTCGGGTATAGATATTTTGCATCATATTGAGACATGGAGCCCCGACAAGCAGAAACAGGCGTACGAAATTATCGCCGATTTTGAGAAACAGGGTTTGGATCGCCTCCAAATCATGCCGGGTGAGGACAATTCGCCCACAGCCTTTATATATGTTGTATGTATTTGTACATACATGTGTACTCGAATGTATTTGTATGCAATTATATTTGGCTACACCGTTAGTGTTAGGGTAACCGGTAACAAGATTGTATCTTTCGCCTTAACTCGAACCCTGCTGTAGAACTAGGGGACTAGGACTGAGAAGTGAGAGGAGTTGAACATCCTAAAGTACCACAGCTCAAATGTAATATGAAAAGCAGTATTTGTAAGAAAAAGATTTGGCAGGATGCAAAAGAGAAGAAGCAGCTCTGAATTCTGCTTTTCATTAATGAAAATTGGGTCCAATGAATTAATGAAAAAGGGGAACACATATACATGAAATAAAGTAACTAATTTCTGGCCAGAAACGTGCTGCACATGCCTTTGCCTCCTACTGTACAGCTCTTCAAAAAGGACACCTCAGCTGGAGCTTAACAGAGGGAAAAATAGTAACTAATTTCCACTATTTCTTATACAAAAGAGAACAACTAGCCATTTTCCAAATTCCTCTTTGCTCTTGCACCAGCTGCAGCATGAATCAACTCTTCATCATCATTGCTTGACACTTCATGCTGCAATACCTGCCTACAAGATGGAGAATAGAGATTAAATATTCCCATCTTGAAGAGGTGAATACTAAAAATGTGAGAAGGCAATGCCTTTGTAAAAATATCAGCTAACTAGAATTGAGTACCAATATAAGTTATGCAAATACTCCCTTCTTGTATCTTGTCACGGATTAGGTGACAATCCAGTTCAATGTGCTTCGTACGCTCATGAAATACTAAATTAACATCAATATGTAATGTTGCTTGATTGTCACAATAAAGAACAACAACTTGTGGGTGAAGAATTTGAAGATTTGACAAAATATACCTCAGCCAAGTGAGCTTAGAAAACGTGACTGCCATTGCTCGATACTCAGCCTCAGATGAAGATCTAGAAACAACCGTTTATTTTAATTTCCACAATATGAGAGAATCTCCCAATAGGACATAGCAATCGGTCAAGGATCAAGGATCTTCTGGTGTCGGGGCATAAGGCCCAATCAGAATCACAATAAGATGTCAACTGCAAGAAGATGGAGCAAGAAAGAATAGACCATGTCCTGGAGCTGCTTTGATGTATTTCAGAACTTTATGCGCTGCTGCCAAATGAAGATCAGATTAGCCATGAATTGGCTCAAATTCTGAACACTATAACATAGATCTGGTCTTGTGATTGTAAGATAAATGAGTCTCCCAATCAACCTTCTATAGATACTTAGATCCTTTAAGAGTTTTCCGGTATCTTTGCTGTCAATAAGAACTTTAGTTGGCTTGGAGCCAAGTGTACCTGAGCCAGCCAAAATGTCCAAAGTATATTTCCTTTGACAAATTTGTATGCCCTTAGTTGTCCTAGCAACTTCAATCCCTAAGAAATACCTTAGAGAACCTAGGTCTTTAATCTTGTATTTCTGGTTCAAAAAGTACTTAAGTTCAACGATCGATTCTTCATTGTTGGTAGCAACTATAGCTTGTGTTTGACATCCATTTTGGAGAAGAATTTGATTTGGAATAGTGATTGATGGAAGAATGTGTGGTTAAAAAGTAATGAGAATTTTTGAGTTTATGTGTAATATCATTTTATTGATAGAATGTGTGGTTGAAATGAAGAAAGAGAAAAAAATGAGAAAGTGTGAGAAAAAAATGGATGTCAAACAAGGGCATAATATCATCAACACAGACCAGTAGTGCTGTAAAAGAGTCTATTCGTCTTGATGAATAAATTTTAAGTAGCCTTGGATTGTGTAAAATCAAACTCAACAATAGAAGTAGAATACTTGGAGTACCATTGCCTTGAGGTCTGCTTAAGGCCGTACAAACTTTTGAGAAGTTTACACACTTGTTGTGGTCCTCCTTTATTGTAACTAATTTCTGGCGAAAAATGTGCTGCACATGCCTTTGCCTCCTACTGTTCAACTCATCAAAAATGACTCCTCAGCTAGAGCTTGACAGAGAAAAAGAAAAAAAAATTAACTAGAAACTGATTTCCACTATTTTATACAAAAGAGAACTAGCCATTTTCCAAAGCATGAATCAACTCTTCATCATCATTGCTTGACACTTCATGCTGCAATAGTATTATAGCTCTTACACGGCGTATACACTTCTATGAATTTCATGAAAATGATTCTTGAATAAAACGAAAAGAACTGAGTGCATATAGAACATTGATTTTCAGAAAGAGTTGCATGAAGTTATTAAAGATGCCAAGTGCCCAAGTGGCTTTGCGAGTGCAGAAATTTGAACACTAGTGTCCAATGAACCCATCATTACTTTGTATTTTACAGGTGGTCATTGAGTGTTGGATTGCATGAAACTTAATCATATTGTATACTTACTTTCTTTGACATAATTTGATGAATCCTTATTGAGTTTTTTGTCAACCAGATTTTCATTTGAATGTACATAAAGAACTTCTGTAGGCTAGAATTAGATATCACAGTAAAGAATTTCTATCAACCTATGAGTTTATTTGCTTTGGTGTAGATTTGGTTTATTTCCCAAAATTTTATTGGAAAGAAAAAGAGGATAACAACCCTTTATACAAGATGTATACAAAGTTCATCAATGTTATACAAGTAGGGATAGAATAAGAGTGTATCCTTCAATCTCCTCAATTCTTTAACAGCATAGCCATTATGAAAAAATTATTCTGGGTTTCAGTTTCATCAATTATATTTTGGGGCAAATGAGTCTTCCACTTCATATATTTTCACTTTTCGTGATAATATATTCTTCTGCTAAGCAACTTGAAAACTTGGCATACAACAAATTAAGTT